AATTGCAGGGGGGTTTATGTCCCGAAGTCGAAATATGAGTATGGGAGACATCGTATGAGCAGCTCCACGTCGGACGACTCCGAATCGGTGACACCCGACCTGGATGTGCACCTGCCTGCAACGAGTTACTCCAAACGGAACCCTGGAACGCCCGAGTGCAGGGTTTTGCCTAGTCAGGTGAGTCCCGTGTTGGAAGATGATGTTTAAATCACATGTGCGCTCAAATCCATCCAATGACGACGCCACGAAAATACCATCGCTTGCCAAGCCAAAGCCCTGCACATGCAACGACGGGCTTGGTGATAAATTCCTATACTGATTGTTGGCCTAGTTGGTTCTTGCTTACTGACATGCTTTGGCCGCAAAATAACACACACACAAAAAGTAAACAAACACTACACGACAAGCACAAGCCGCTTGTGCTTGTCGTTTAGCGTTTGTTCACTTTGTGTGTGTGTGTGTTATTTTGCGGCCAAAGCATGTCAGTAAGATAAATTCCTAGTTTAGCCCCGGCATGATAGTGGCTACTCTGCACTCAAAGTGCTCGCCCCGCCCCGGTGGTTTAGTGGCTAAGTATACTCGGCTGCTGACCCGCAGGTCGCGGGATCGAATCCCGGCTGCGGCGGCTGCATTTCCGATGGAGGCGGAAATGTTTTCCGCCTCCATTTCCGATGGAGGCGGAAAAAAATACATTTAAAACACATATTAGCTTACAAGCGAGAAGTATTAACAAATACTAAATTAACAAACGATCAAACAAACAGTTGAATGAATATAGACAGCAGTTAAACACGCGAAAGTTGAGAAGTATTAACAGATGATCGATACGTGCGATGAACGGCAGCGTTCAGTCCGCGATGATCGGATGCGAGATGTCCCGAAGAGCTCTGGCACGAATGCGATGCTGTCAGCGTTGCAATGCTGATGTTCCGGGCGCTGGGGCTTGACAGTGACCGCAGGCAGGTTGAGCTAACCTGAGTTGAAGTTCTGAACTAGGCTAAGTTCATGTGACCAGCCGATGCATAGTCACAGTAAAAACTACTAGACGAGATACTCGATGATCTTGTACCCCGTGTTGTAAAGGCAACCAGACTTTTTAGCAGGGCGCGACTCTGTGCTTAAACCCCTTCCTGCCCCTCCCCCCTCCATTCTCTTCTTGGTGTCAAGAGAGGACCATCGAAATGGTTCCAATGATGCGCGTGACATTGTTCAAAGTCCGCCCTAAAATTATATTCCAGTTACGTCCCTTTTGCATGAGCGGGGCATGTTCTCAACTGGGCGAGGGCAACAAAGTTGTGAGGCGATCGCTTACATCTCGCCGGCGTGTTGCCTCTACCGTGGGAAAGGGAGTAGTTCGTCGGTTCTCAGCCGGTGCATCCGGGGGCCCATATACTTAAGTTCGGGGAACTTGGCCGCTGCCTCTCGTCGCCACTGACATAAAAGGGTTAATCCTGAGCGGTGGACGTCTGAGACGAACACCCTCGCCAGGCCTTGGCGGCCTCAAAGAAACTCGATGTCCAAGAGGTCTCACGGTCAGTGGAAGAAGCGCGGCGCCTGTAAACTCGGTCTGACGCCGCGGGTCGCAAAAACGGCAGTCCCTGATACTCGGGCTGGTGGCATCCGTGTATACATTCTCTGCGAGTCACTTAGAGTTCACCTTCGATCGTTGAGCCGACACAGGCAGCGCCCTCTATCATCACTCCCGGTCACCCACCGAGGCTGCAGTTTCTCATGAGCGATGTCGCGGCGTGAGAATATAAATTGTACAGTTTCTAAGCATACGATCAGGATGGTATTGATTGAAAACAACGTTGAATTTTCTTGACTATCGTTCTATGTGTCCTCTTTGCCTAAGTAGTGCCTGATGCTTTTTATGTGTGTGTTCTTTTCCCTATGCTTCCTTGTGTATATTGTTATTTTTGTATATCTCTCTCAATAGCGATGAGAAATCGAAACATATCTATAGGTATTTGAAACATTACGATGGTTATGTATAGGTTTTGTTTACTAGAAATAGCATTTTATTACTGTTGTATGTGTTACAGTATTGGCACATGTACCTTTTGTATTTTTGTATGTTTTTGTACTTTTTCTGTGTCCTGCAAAATTCTTATGACAGCCTGTTTGCCTCACTGTATTTGGAGCAAAGGTCTTAGTCAGGCTTTCAGCTTTTTGCCTTCGCTCCGTTTTCTGTACTGGCACAGAAAGAAACAAATAAATAAAAAAGAAGGAAAGAAAGAAAGAGAGAGAGAAAGAAAGAAAGAAAGAATATTCTATACCGCAGCAAGGTTTTTCCCGCCCAGTGTTCCTGGAGTGCCTCCATGGGTCCTGCCTAAATCGCCTGCTAGTCTTACGATTCCCCGGATTACGACGAAGTCCCTCGTTTCTTATGTTGGCCTCAAACAACTGACCCTGCATCACATTTATACAGCGTGCGGTGATTCCCTGCACGTGTACATCGACTGGTCTAGCACGCACACCTCCGCCGCAGCCCTTGTCATCATAGACATGGATACCGCTTGACGATTCAAGGTAGATCATAATTCGAGGTAGACCTCGAGGTAGACCGATTTGAGGTAGACGATTCGAGGTAGACCATAAAACCACGTCCACCACCGCAGAGCTTCTCGCTATCCGGGAGGCAATGAGATCTATTTCTGAAGAGCAACCTCGAGCCTAAACGATTTTTCTGTGATGCCAAACCCGCTTTGCGAACCATTCACTGCGTCATGAGGCAATTACATCTTGGCTGTAGAACTTGCAGAAGTCCTTCGGGTAGCTTCAACAAATGGCCATCTTATCACCTTCCAGTGGATTCTAGCTCATTGCGGCGTGATGAAAAACGAAGGGGAAGACGCTGAAGCTTTAGAAATGCCCTAAACAGTTCCCCTGAAGTATATACGCATTGAATTTTCACAAGCCGACACGAACGCCCTGCTTCGCTGCGTGATGCGCAGATACACACTTGAGCCCTGCATGATGGACCAATTCGTATAACGGCTACACCATGGCGACTTCGCAAATGGGACCCGGAAATAAGGTTCCTCATGCCACCTAAATCGAAGCAGCACATCGCAAGTGCGATTCACTGCATTCACCTCGGTGTGGCGTACACATGTCGTTACGCACATATCATCGGCCGCAGTGACACCGGTTACAATTGTGAACCCTTTGATGTGCTAGAAACACTTGAGCACATATTTTGTGATTACCCAGCATGCGCGCGTGAACGAAAAATTCTGGTTACTTTTAGTGAATGATTTCGCAGTAGGTCATTAACTGATGAGACCGCATTGGGCCTGACACCAACAGTGCAACTGTGGTCATAAAGGCGGTTATAAACTTTTTGAAAGCAACTGGGCTGTATGCGCGGCTATGACATTTTTCGAGGCTGGAATATACTCACCTCTCTATCTCACCATCGTCATCCATTACTCTTTTCCTTCTCCCTGTGTAAAGTAGCAGGCTAGAGCTAGCAGGCTATCGCTCAGGCCGACCTCTCTGCATTTCTGTAAATAAACATGTAACTCTCTCTCTGCTGTTCAGTGTTTACTTTGGCTAACCTTTCCTATCCTTTTTCGTTGTTGTTTTTATTTTTTAGCTGCAAAACTCATAGGGATGGAGTTGCCGATGTACATAAACCTTTCGACAGCAAGACAGTTATAACATAACACCACATATTTCACCATATTTCACTAGACCGATGCTGCAGGGCTATTTGTATAGCGTGGAACATTGCTAAACTCCGTCAGACTGTTCTCGCTTCATTTATTTACTGTTTTTCGCTATATATAGTCAACGTTTTCGATGTAATTTTCAGAAGTGTCCTCTTCATTACTTTTTTTTGTTTGCCTTTGCACTCATCAATATGTGTTCGACTGATGTTGGTGGATGTATTTGACTGTATTCTGTGCTCCCGTTTGCTCTCTGTTTTCCTTTTTCTTTTCTATGCATTTTGTTTGCTGCTTTTGTAGTTTTAAATGCATGTATTCGCTCAAAACCACCCCATGTAATTCCCAATTGGACCTTCAGAGTATTTAAATAAAGAAAGAAATAAACAAAATAAATAAATAAAAGGTACCATGGATTTGCCTAAGACCATGCCTATCATCCGGATAACCATGGGCAGTATTGTTGGTGTTGTTGAGCGCTACTCATCCTAACGCCTGAATAAAACTTCACACAAGACTATTTCGTGCATGTACGCTTTTTTCTAACTGTTCGCGTTGGGCGTCTGCATGTGCAATAACTGTACATACAACAGTTAGCACAGTGTATATACCTCGAGCGGCCATCCAGGTGATAAACCAGATTAACATATCTGGGAATGCCATTAAAGACTGATATCCATCTCTTTCTCGTTAACTATCACCTTAACTATCACCTTTCTCGTTAACTATCATAGTAATCAGTGTTTAATGTAATGCACTCCGGTAATTGCTGCTGTTGTCATTGACCCTATATTTCTTTCGCCCTCCTGCACGGACCAACATATTGGTCAGCAGCGTGTTTAAATGAATAAATATTGGCTATACTGAATCGGAGGCTATCACAGTGAAATGACCAATGATGAGAACGTCTTTATAGTTGTCCTTACCCTTGCTTCGATGGAAAATTTAGGCCTGGTCTTTCTATTACGTGCGAAGCATTTGTTCGTATGGCAGTCTGTGGGGTTCTCAAAAAAATTTCGCTCAACACCACGGAATCTAGCTTTTTTTTTGTTTTTTGCACGCTGAATACTCGATAAGATGCACGGTCTTCCACACGCTGGCTACTCCGCGAGCTGTGGTCTTGGTTAAAACCACACGCCGACTACTTGAAGGGGTGATCTTTGTCACTACCATGCGCCGGCTACTCGGCGAGCAGGTCTTTTTACTACCCCCTCACAGAGTAGTATTCACGTGTGACTACTCCACGAACACAACTCGGCGAGCTGGTCATCGGCACTGCCATGCACCGTCGACTCAGTGACAGCAGGAAGAAGGACAGTCAGATACACGTTTTTTTGTAGGAAATACCACAGACAAGAAAGATTTATTGTTTCTTTGTCATATTCTGCATTCTTTTCTTTTGCTTTCTTTCATATATTACGATGGCTATGTTACATATGTACAAATGAACAGCTGCACCATTTCTTTTTTTCTCGCGAGATTATTAAACATATCGTATTATACAGTGACACAACGTATTACAACATTCAGACGCCATACTCGCGTTCAAGCACACACTACTACGCTATAGTCTGTCACACGTTAAAATTTATGAGCACTCATTCACACGTAAAATAGTTTGCGGGGGCCTTGCACTGTATTCACACATCAGGTGTTTTCGTTTTAAGGTAGAAACAAGCTTTTAGATCACTCGCAAGTCGTGGCATGCAGTTTGTTTCTGGCGCGGAAGATTTCTTTTTTTTTTTTTCAATAAATCTGAACTGCCGCACATTCATTTCTTGCTAGGATGTCTCGAAACGAATTCGACAGGCGCAAGATATTCCGCGCTGACATTCCTAAATGTCCGGACGTGCGACACACTTGTCTTTTCAGAGCAATCTGTAGCTTTGTTATTGTTGTTAGGGTTAGCGACCTGCCACTTTTCTCAACGGGGAAGCAATGTGAATATTTAGACAAGTAGTGATTTCGTGTCTGCGCCTAAAAGGCGTTCCGTATGAGCAACAAGATGGAATAGAAAGAACGGTCAGTACGCGGTGTATGCAGCTAAATGGAGAAATTCACTTGTACGTTCGACGCGCATCGTCTGCCGGCGAAACTAGATGTATCGTCTGCTACGAGTGGCAGCAGACGTGTCGTCTGCAACGGCCCACACACTTTAGAATCGACATATAGAACTCTGCACACGTCGTGAATTTTTATTTTATTATTTTTTTTACTGCTTCAGGTGTTGGGGACGTTTCGGCTCGGTTCTTTCGCTGGCGAGCTATTTAAAGGCAACTCGCTACAAAGTGCTCATAAGGAGAGAGGGGGGGGGCGGAGCGTGTCCGTTAACTCCAGTAAAACGAACAGTGGTTAAAAGACGGCCGCGGCCTTTCCAAAATGAAGAGTTAAAATACGACTCCATCCTCGCAATGAATCATGGAAGTGTTCCCGCTTGAAACGCGTGCATGCCACAAACGCTGCTCTTTTTTTTTTTTTTTGAACGTCACTCGCAAAGCATCATGGCCCACGCAAGAATTTACGACTTTTCAAAGGAAGATAAGGGCCGCTTGTACAAAAACACCGCGAGGCTGTCGCGAATGGGGTACAGCCACGCATATCCAAACATATCCAAAGAGGAGCACAAAAAAGGTGGGAAAAAAATCGGCAAAAGCTTCACAACAACACCGCTGCACAATTGTGGAAACCTCCGAGATGTTTTTTTTTTTTTTCGCTCCTTTCGTCCCACTTCTTGTGAACACTTGGGACGTCGGTTATAAGAGTACGCGCGTTGTTTTTTTTTGTTTACCCGACAGATGGCCATAGCGTGCGTACACCACTCGAAACATACATACACAAACATAGCCGCCATCTTGGTCCCGGAAGGCACCTGAACAGTATAGTAAAACGCACATTGTTTTCCTATCTTATAGTTTACTTGTATTGGCTCGTGGAGTCACTGGATTCTTTAAAGAGACACTAAGCCGCCACGCTTCTTTAGAATTGCAGAAATGAAACCTAACAATCAAGTGATCAGTCCCGTGTGGCGTACACTTTTGCTCGCTTAGATCGACACTCGCGACAGGAAAACCGGCTCCTTAACTACGCCAGTTGCGAAAATCCATATTTATTGGGCGTAAAAGAAAAAAAAATTATCTTGCAATACATCGGCCCTCCTGGCGATGGAGGAGATGAACTAGAACATAATTTACTTAAACCTACCCACAGGTGACTTTAAGACGAACTTCTTGCAGCTTGTGCACCTAATTAACTGTGATTACTTGCACAGCAATGCACTTCAGATAATAAATGCGCCTAGATGCGTCTGCTTATGGCAGAGATGCAACATCGTCTGCAACACGGAGTAGGGCAAGATAGTCTTCTACTCAGATCTGGCAAATGCTACGTATATGGACGCTTGAACGCTGCAGTGAACGCTTCAATGGCTCCATGGTGTTCATGTATGCAAGCAGACCTAGTTTACGCGTCTAAAAATAATACTAAATATGGGGATAGCACGAACACCTAATGCGAACTGCCCATCAATCATGTGTCCGCTTTGAATTTCGGATTTCACTCGGTACCACTCATTATGCGAGCCCTCTAGGGGCATTCGTTTCAATGTAGACGACTTTGCGGCTACGTTTTAACGTAATACACTTCAAACTTGTTTACTATGTCGTCCTGATATCCGTAAGTATACAAAACACAGCTGCCCGAGACAAGATACTCAAGAAAACACAACCCTGGTTCAAACCAAGCGCCGGCAAGGGAAAAAATTTTTCTTCTTCGGATATCGTAACAAATCACAAGCGTAAAGCTTTCACAACTTTAGCTCCTTTGAAGGCCCACGCATTTAATGGACCACAGCTTGAATCGGCAAAGCATTTCTGGACAATACGTTGACATAGCGGAAAGCGCATCTTGTAAAATCCTATAGAATAATCTGACGTCAATTGTGGTAGCACCAAACTAATCTGGTTCCCTATATAAAGAGCACCAACTCCACGTGACTTGAGCCACAAGAAGTTCCTAAGAAGTTGACGAGAGCCTTCAACACTGTTGCTGCCTAAATAGCTAAGAAGTTACTCCAATGTCACGTTGCTTAATGATCTTGCTAAGGCCTTCGAGAACTGCGGTTCGAAAAACCGTGCAATCTGCACGTCAGATGGTGCTCCTATACAAGACATCTTGTAAACGTGTTGGGCTTACACTCGTCTCTCTCAAGACGAAAAAAAAAACAAACACAGGCAAACTTTTTGTGATACTGCACGTCCTTGTATTCGGTTCCCTGAGCAGATACGCAAGTGCATCTCCCCTCATTGGAAGGATAACGCACATATCAGGACGGCTATTCGTCAAACACAAATTGCGACTTCTAGAGCATAGTGTCCGACGCGACTCGAAAGTGACGCTTGTAAGGCTTGGCCAAGACGAATTATAGAACTTCCAAAAGTTTGTGATACCAGACAGTCCAGTTTTGACAACTATGGGCCAGTCGGAACCATTACTTTCAGAGTAAGTGCAAAAAAGCACGTTCTGCTTATTCTGGATGACCTGTACAGTAAGCTAGGAATGAGACCACGTGGTCAGTCAGAAGTACGTGGCGTAGGGCACATTTTCCAACCAGAAATCATCCAGTGCTTTGACAACTATGGTTACGCTTAGTTTCTGTATGTGGTTGCTTCGGTGGCACTGTACCAAGTTATCTATTCTGACTAGCAGTAGATCTCTTGCACAGATGCAAGGATCTCTTACACTAACGTCAGACTAGCCGCCATGTTGGAGGATCAGCACCGTGGTAAGTGATCAGATATTAAATTTAATCACTGGACTAACAAAAAAAAGCTAGCCATCTTTGATTATTGGGCTCGTAAGCTTGGTAGGCTTTTGAACGCGAGAAATGAACAAAGCCATCACATAGTGATTGGTTCACACGCCATATATTATGAAGACGGTTGCGTAAACTTCCTCATTGCCAACCGAAACGCACGCAAGCGAAACATCAAAGTGCAATACATCCAGTGACTCCACAAGCAGGCCAATAATTTTTTGCACGACACGTTTAGGAACTACGAGTCACGGTTTAGAGAGCGGCCCCGTCAGCCCCGGCCTCTAACATTAGTACAGACGTCTTCTAATCAAAACATACAAAACCATCACCAGATGGCGCAGCCGGACAGAGCCACATACGGCCTTGATGCCAGCGTTCTTTCGCACTGGGTGGTAAACGCGTTCACCATATTGACAACATTACACAATGCAATGGCTTCACTGTTAGGTCCAGTATGGCGGTGGCGCTGTCAGTGGGTGTCACCACCCTGTGCGAAGGAGCGTTGACAGCGAGGTGCCTTGGGGCCACATAAAACGAACTCCCGCCGAAAGAAAAAAAAACAGCAACGGATAGAAAGGGGGAGGGTAATTTGATAACGCTTTGGTCAGTGTAGGTGCGGGTAGTCCCTGAGGTAGTCCTTGAGAGCCGCCGGAAGCGGCTCTACAGTCCTGCACGACGTAGACGACGTCGCTGCGGCAACCGAGGCGGCACTGCGGTTGAGCGCTATGCGGCACAGGTGCTGCAGAGACGCCGGCTGCCGGTACAGCGGCCTGGTCAGCACGATCGGCAAGTCCCGACGGCCGTGACCGTCCAGCCACACGCACATCTGTCCCTTGGCAGACCGGCTGAGTCGAACGTAGTGCTCCACTAGCGAAACGACGCACGAGAACCACGGCATGCTGGCCGCTAGGGCGTCCTCGCAGTCCAGCCGGAACTGTCCGCGCCAGTAGTGGATGCGGACGCTGGTGGGACCGCGTTCGGTCTGAACGCTCAGCGCGAACAGGAACCGATTGTCCGAACTGTCTCGCACCAGGAACGTGCCCACGGGTTGGCCGCGGAGCAACCGGCCCGCCTCTTCCCAAGACAGGCCCTCGTAGTAGTAGCCGCTCGTGCGAAGCGTCCGCAGGGCGTCCCGAACGCGGCTCAAGTCAGTGTCCACGTCGGACGCAGCGCCTGCCCCTAGCAGTGCACCGGTGGAAGGAGACAGGTGGGGAGGAGAAGGCTGGTTGCCAACGCGATGTTGTGACGTCGGAGAGGACGGAGCTTCCATGAGGCGTTCTTCCGGGACACCGGAAGTGGGCTTGCGTTCTTCCTCGTTCAGCGGGAAGCTGGTCTTTCCGGGATCTTGCGGCGAGGTCCAGCTGGGCGCCGACTTGACGCTCCAGCTGCACTTGCAGCAGCACCGGCACGACGCGGACGCCGTGCGTCGACGCTGGGTGGAGTTGGTTGGACTCTTGGGAGTCGGCGGAAGAGGCACAGATGGGGAAGGCGACCAGGATGACGGCCTGCTTGTCGGCCGCGCAGCCGTGCGCGGTGCCCGTCTGAGACGCGGCGGCGTGCGGCGGCGGCGGCGAGGACCGAAGTTGAGCCGACCACATACCGCCGCCGGACAGCGTCGTCCGCGACCACACCTGCAGGTCAGGGCAGCACCAGCAGCAGCAGGGGGAGGCGCAGCTCGCGGTGCGGGTCGACACCACGGGCTCGGCGGAGATCGCCGTCGGACCACCGACCACCATCTGTAGATAAGGGGAGAAGGGATAGGGTTAGTACAGGGTACTTCAAAGGGATGGTCACAATAAAGCAGGCGGCTACAATAAGCGATATCAGACTACCGGGTAAAAGAACAGAAGACGCCTGCAGTCACGTTATTGACGTGGAGAGGCGATCTTGCAGGCAGTTGTCAAAGTCCTAAAGCACAAGTTAGGATAATGTCATTAGTTTCTTGTCGAATTCAAAGTCGTGTCAGCTCTTACAGGTCAAGAAGGCTGCTACAACCTAACTGATTGCATGGCCTGTAAAGTCTGCCTCAGAGATGTTGGCGGTATTCGAAGACGTCGGGAATGACAGCAGTAGACGGCAACAATCTTATACGCAAGTCACCGACAGACGATCGGAAATGGAATCAGCAGACGACAGATATGTTGCGGAAGTGCAGCGTACCGTGGACATTTGGTCAAGAATAGCAGACTGTGACGTTCGCGTGCATTCCAGGCCGGCGAACGGTGATCGTCACAGGCAGACGGCTGACAGAGCGCCCCAGGATTGTCAATTAGCGTGCTAGCAGAATGGAAACGAACGCGTCAAGCTTTCAGCGAGCAGACGGCTACTTCTCGCAGAAGGATCTTGAGAAATGCAGGAAACGTCGGCGCGGGCCAGCGGTCAACATTGCGCTGCAGAAGTGCGTGGCGTGCTGGGAAAGAACGAGCTCACGACAGGAATAGCAGGTGCGTGCTTGCTTAGAAAAGCGCGCGATAACTCAAGAGCGCCGCCAAAATAGCCCGACTCTTGAGGGCAACACGTCGACGAGAGAGGGAGAATATAACGACGTCCGCGCGGCGTCTCAAAAAGAGGCACACGACATCTTGGAGGCCTTCTTTCTAGAAAACACGGTGACGCAGACGATACCGCGTGCAAGTGGAGTGCATTCCGGGAACTTTTTTTACATAAGAATGCATTGCGGTTGTGCAGTTCTCTCTTATTTCGTATAGGTGAAAACAAAAATTCTCGGCGCGAATACATCCGCAGTATGACAAAAGAGAGTTATAGTTTACCGTTGGCGCGATAGCGAAGTTTAAGGGAATGGCATTACCGTGCAGCAAACGTCCGTTGGGGACAGCGGTTTACGTGCCCCAGCTGGGACGCTGGCGCCACCTATCGGGTGATTAATAAGTTAGATAACAGGGAAAAGGAAAAGAAAACGAGAATATTTGCCTATGCCACCGGACGAAGCATTGTTACAAGTTTACTATAATAATATAATAAAAGTAAATAAATGTGTTCCACGCACCAAACGCTAAAACATTCATGTTGCCCACATGTTTACATCGATCATCTAGTTAGGCCTAGAGACGTTCGAAATTGGAAGCTATCTCAAAAATTACGCCGGATTATCCGCAAAAACTCGGTCATCGAAGCTATCTGAGGGCAAGTGAAGTCATTTTAAAACAGTCGTTCGCTGCGAACGAAGTGAATCTTTCAATAACTACGCTAAAATCACTTTCAATCGGGCGACCGAAAGTGCCGCCATGTTTGTTTTGCGTGCACTACGTACACCTACGCTAACACGGTAACGTTAAATCTGAAAAATAACGCGCGTGCGGTAAGCGTAACGTACGTGTCTGCGCATGCGCACTTCGGTTCCGCTATCACGGTACGCCCGGGAAGGGGGGGGGGGATGAACAACAAGAGAGAAGGCAGGGAGGTTAACCAGGCACATGCGCGGTTTGCTACCCTACGCTGGGGGAATGGGAAGGGGGCATAAAGATGAGAGAACTGTCTATTATCTCTTGTACGGAAAACATAACCAGAGACTTCTTCACGTTCGCAGTTGCGTCGACGAGGCACGCGCCATGATTTTTTCTGGCCAAAACGTGCCGATAAGTGCAGGTCGAGTGGCTCACTTCTGACGTCATAAGGTTGCAAATCGTCCACCAATAAAAAAAAACTGTCGATTTCGGAGGGCAATGCATGGTTTCGATTTCGGCGATTCCCTCTGTTCGAACCCGGAAGAGAGATACCAGGTGTGACGGAGATCACAAACCAACACGCTATACATACGGGACATCGTGTGGGCGGAGACGTCATTAGCACACGTGACGTAATACGCGGATATACTAAACGCTCTCTCGTTTTCCGTAGTTCCTCGAAAAGCCGCGAGGGCCCGAGAAGAAAGCCAGTGAATCGTGAGCTCTGGGCACGACTCGAGGCATCTATCTATATAGTCGCCCATGTAGAAAAGAAGAAAAAAAAAAAACAGCTGTCGTGACACAAGCGGCCTCGCGCTTCGCGCCGCGGTGTGGCGGGAGATAATTCAGCCAATCGACTCAAACCTAACCGCTATAACAGTCACGAAAACGTGAATCTTTCAAGCAGTGTCACAACCTTGATGATTTAGCCTCGTTACTTCAGTAGATGTACAGTCAGCATACGAGCAGATGGTTAGGTTAGGCACGTAAAATATTGAAACATTGACGTCAGAAGATTAGCAGCGGAAGGTTGTGTAGGCTTACGCATATGTTCAACTCAATAACGTCGAAATTAGTACTGACAGATTACGGGAGAAAGAAAAAAAAAGGATGTTGATAGATTTCTTCTTCGTGCCGTATTTGAAGGATTCGACACCAATCGCGTAGCCTAAGGAATGTATACAGACTAATTATGACGTTTTTATCGACTACTGTTAATCGCATTTCTTCAAACAACTTGTTCGAATAACTACGCTACAGATAATAGTCTAACTATCCTTGTATTTATACGAATGATGAGGTCAACTTTCGACATATGCATGGACAGAAGGCAAAGTCAGTCTATGCAGTCTGTTTATTCGTTCAGCAGTCTGTGACTGCAGTCTGTTCAGCAGTCTATGCAGTCTGTTATTGTTATTCGTGTTATTCAGGTAAGTTCAGCTTTGTAAAGCAAACCGCGTTCATTCTATGGCGTTTCGAACTGATCACGTGATGAGAGGACTCACGGCGATGCTCCCACGCTTTCCGTCCGTCTGCTTCGCTTGTGACGAAGCAGACGACTGCGCAATAAACACGAAAAAAAAAAAGCTTCACGCCATGCATTCAGTTTCGTAATCGAACTATGTACCACACACCATTGCGAACGCTTCGCGCTACGAAAGTATAGTTTCCGCGATCCTGAGTCACATATGAAACTTTCGAACGAATGAGATATAACTTTGGGGGGGAAAAAATGACAAAGTGACGTATACGGTGCCGAACCGACTATATACGCAAAGCCGGCGAACCGTTACGGCATATCTGGGTAGGCAATAAAAAACCACGTCTGCCAGCTAGCGCGGCTAGCAGACGACCTGCTAAAAGCGACCATAACTCCGCGCAGCTGGTTCGTAATTTTTAGAACTCGATTCGGTTAGTTTTCTTTTTTTTTTTTTCGGCGCTTATACTAGGAAGAGCCGACACAGCCGGGTTTCCCAAAAGGGAGCTACCGTGCGTGTGTATATCTAGAATGAATCCGCTTTTTCTTTTTTCTTTTTTTCAGAACGTTGCCGTCTGGTGGCCGTTAGCACCGCATCCGACGCTTTGCGTGTCTAACTGACGGCGATGTTCTGGAAAGCATATGCAGCGCCACACGTATACAGCAGACGATTTTTTTTTCAGAATATCGTCCTTCTTAACGCAGAAAGTTTGCTGTCACGGTATAGAGCAGACGATTTTCCGAATGACGCCACCTGTTGGCCATTAGAGGCTCAAAGTCGCACAGTATGCATTAGCAGACGACGATTTTCTGGAAAGCATCTGCAGCGCTGAAAGTGCAACAGACGGTTCGTTAGAATATCGCATATGTACTATTTATTGCCCGTTTAACGTCTGATAGCTGCCGTCTGCTTTCAGAATTCCACCGAGGATTGGCCATTAGAGACTGAAATTCGTGCAATACGTCAGGAGAAAACGTAGAAAACGGTATTCTCGAAACCGGCCTCAACGCTGAGCACGCATATGGCAGAAGTGCGTATACAGCAGACGGCAATATTGCCGGGATCCGTCTGCTTTCAGAATATCGACGAATATTCATCGTTAGTGGCCCAAACCCAATAACTCTGGTACTGTAGCGTTGAGCCCGAGCCGGTGTAACATTCGCGGACAAAGCTCGACTAATCGATCGTCACCTTGGCAATGTTAACGTGCACCGAAATCTCCTCTCACTCACTGACACTTCAACAACGTATCACGAAAATCTGCTTCGCCAGATTATCTAACTATATGTTGCTAAAGAAGCGCCTATTCTGCGCGAGCAGACCCGAGTATTCATTGATCAGTGCGCGGCACTAGATCGCCATCTTTTATGAATAAAAAAACTGGAAGAACCCCGTACAAGGCTAACCAGGACTCAAAGTTCACGTGACACGACGCGGCGCAAGAGGGCTAACAAGGTCTATTGTCCACGACGCACGCATGCGACTAGGTATACATACAACGCCACATGCAACAGAACTGCGCTAACACACACACAGCGTCCACTGAATCGGGATGTCAAAGTGAAGAATAAAAAGTAGACGAAAAGTTTAGGAAAAGTGGAGAAGTGGGTTAGCCGCCGATAGCGACCGAACCGACGCGACCTTCGAATAACGAGTCCTATGATCCCCGAACTATAAGCTACGGCGGCGGTCATCCATGCGTCCACATTTATGAGATATGCATGTCCATTTGAAGGTGTTATTGTCAGCCATCGCCGCTAGTATCCATTACGGCGAGTGTAGAACACGGCACTTTCCTTGGCATCGTTGTCTTTTCTCATTGATAATGTGTGTAACAAATAAGACTAGCTTTTTTTTTTTCAATTTACACTTCTTTCCTTCTGACGGCAATATCGGGTAAGTAATGAAACATTCGCTGAAAACGCAATTGTCTGCGAAAACATAACCAGCGCTAAGAGACAAGGACTTAAGACAGAGGACACACCACAATCCACCTCTCGTACCTTCTTGTCTGCTATAGCCCTAAATATGCTTTCGAAGTCAGTTTACCGACCCGCCCAAACAAAAAAAGAT